TATTCACAGTGTGAAAAGAAGGATCTCAAAATCATACAGTCATTGTTGGAAATGGTTCAAATACACAGAAATGCTGAAAAACCACAGAATTTGTATTTTTTTGTATATTGTATATTGTCATTTAAGTATTTTTCTGAAGAACAGAAAGCAGTTTAACTGTTCAGGACAAACAAGGGACTCATGAACAACTATCACTAAACAAAAAAAAAAACTCCCAGTGGTGGAAAGAGTACTGAAAATGTGTACTTAAGTACAAGTACTGTTACATTGCTGAAATAATACTCAATTACAAGTAAAAGTACTGGTGTCAAAACAGTACTTAAGTAAAAGTACAAAGTACTCCTCTCAAAAACTACTCAGAGTACTAGTTACTAGTTACTTTTTAGCCGGCGATATTTAATGAATTACCAAAAAATATTCATATCAAAGATCTATGTGGATAATGCTACTTTGAACAAAACCCACTTTTATCTTATTGATAAAGTACGTGAATTAGTGGTCATGATACAGAAATTTCTAACTTCAATACCTTGAAAAATATCAATATTAAAGTACCCGTGAACCGGAAGTTGCAACTGACTTCAGTGTTGTGATGTATTTCCAAGTGAAACGGAATATTGAATAAAGGGTGAGGCTTTATTGTGGTGCACCTCCACTCCACCTCTTGCTCACATCAGATTCAGTTGGATAGGAGTGGTTAAGAATATCTGCTTGTTACGTCTGACATCACGCTTCACCTCTTCTGGGTCCTAATGCTCTGCCAGACGCCTCAAGAAAACACCAAACTGTGCTACTATACACCCACGATGTAATGTAATACTGAAAAATTATAACCCTAACCTTTATCTCCATACTGAAATCCCAGATAGCCTGACAGTGATTCAGCTAAAATATTAGTGTCTGAGACACTGTGAGCATGGAGACTGTAGTGTACACAGCAACTTTTTAAATGCTTAGCTTAAATATGTAATATTAATTAAATAGTGCATATAAATGTCTGTTGAGATGGTATTCTCAAGTGAAATGAGTAGAGGCATGGACCCGGAAACAGCAGTCCTTACATCATACTTAACAAGAGGATTCTCCCGAAGCCGTCAAACTGACGTCATCACAGCCAGAACGCCATTCCAGAGCAGAAGTGATGGCAGACAATTTTTTCAAGTGTATTGACTTGCATGGTTCAATTGTTCACCACAAGACTAGTAATGTGCACTAAAAAAGTAAGTAGGGTCATTTTTGATTTCATGACGACTAATCATTTTCCATACCATTGGCAAAACTACCACATACATGTACTGTATACTGCCATATAGATATTTTCATTTTTTTTTTCATCCATTTTTTCAAGGCAATCCTTATTTCAAGCTTTGAAATTGGTTTAATCCAAGTCTTCTAAAAAGACACATTCCCTTTATATGATGAACAGATTTTAATATAGGCTTTTATTTACATGCATATAAACATTTATCAATCACCATTACAAAAATCTCAATCTTAAACATTTGCGCATTCTGTGTATTTGTGTCTTTAAAATAGGGGTGGGCGCTATACCGGTATGAAAGTGAGTACCGGTATTATGTTGTTCCATGATATGGATTTTGCTATATTGTGGATATCGTTATATATTCATGAATTCAAATTTTGCATTTATATTGTTTTGTTCAATTTGGCATGCTTTGCAAATATTAACACAAATGACGATAAAGAGTCAAGGCTGAATATTTTTGTCCTCTGTGTGCAACACTGTACTACACAGGCATTAGTAATCAAACACATAGAGCATCGTAACAGACCAAATTAATAGAGCACAAGACTGGAGTAGAGAGCACTATGAATTGTTCGTCATGAGCACAGTAACTGAAATATAAAACTGTTAAAAGAAAAGGCTCAATAAACTAGCGCACATATTTAATACACTACGCATCAATATCTCTTCACTTTGTGCTTTGAACTTCTCTATGCTGCGCGCTGTGCGCTGTGACTCCGTGTCGCTTCAAGCGCGTCATTCTGCGCACGGGATGCGCATAAGCGCTTTGAGCCGCTCTGTATTTGTAGCCTTTAGTATCATAATACTTTTGCGCAATGAAAGATTATTAATAGCCTTTCTTGTTCGTCTTATGTATCATATGTTGCTGCCTCATTACTCTGCTATACATTTAAAAGAAATGTTGTTTAATTTATACAGTAGTCAACATTTGAAGTGGATCAAAAAAGTTAATCAAAGTTGTCCTAAGACAAGAACGGGTATTGTTTTGGTTTTAGGACAACTTTGATGAAAGGTTTTGATCCACTTCAAATGTTGACTACTATAGTATATATTTATATATAAATATATTACTTGTTTTTCATGAATGTATTTTACAACAATACAAAGAGCAATGTGTAGGCCTACCAGATTTAGCCCTACACTTATTCACTTTTATTTGTTACCCACTAAATAATGCTTTTTTTTTTTTTTCACTAAAAGTTTAGGAATTTATACAATTATTGTGCACTCATGATTTTTCTAGAGTAACTTTTGCTACTGAATTATCCATTAACCTAGTTTATAATATTATTTTTTATCAGATTTTGATTATATATTTTTGTTTGTTATGTTTTCTTTATAATGAAGCTGTCTATATTTAGTAGATTGTGTGTAACATACAAAAGAGTGATGATCGACCTACACATTGAGGTATAGAAATTCTACACTCATTTATAAAAACTGCGCTGGTATCGGATCGATATCGGTATCGGAAATCATAGGGTCCTACTAATGTAGCAAAGGAGTATTATAAGCTTATTGTGAGAGTAAAAGATGGGGACATTGTTTATTTACTTTATAGCATTGAGTCTCTGTATTGTTAAATCACCATTCAACAGAATTAAACCACCACCTCACTGCAGTCGACTGGATTGCAGAAAGATACTAACTTTTTAATCTGCTATGTTACTGACTGTAGTACTGACACACTATGCTGACTTAGGAAATGTGATGTGACCGATGTGATAAGCATGAGTTCTGGGACACGGAGTGGCTGGTATAAACACAAGCATTGACTGCCGCGATCAGCTCCGGTGCGCCGCAGACGCATGCAGTGATGCATAGATCAGCTCTAAGGTCTGCTGTTAAAAATGTACCATCCATTCATCATATCATCACGCAAAACTAAGAATTAGAATCATTTTAATGGGACAATCAAATATAGGTGCGGGTGGGTGGGTGGATAATTTGAAGCAGCGGACTCGAAGTGTGAAGTTTGAGCTCATCCGCGTATCTCTACACTACAGTGACCTGGGTCGCCAGTAGCAAACAATAGAGCGTTCTGCTGGACAAACTAAATAATTACACTATTTAGAAGCATTTCATCTGTTATATTCTGTAAAAAAAAAAAAAAAAAAAATTCTTATCGGCGGCATATCTGCGCCATATTCGCCGATACAGATATATCTGCAACAGAATCATATCAGCCGATAAAATCGGCAAAATTATATATCGGTCTGGCTCTAATCATAAGTTCTACTGGAATTCATTTAAGAGGTGTTTACAAGACACAATTGTCAAATCAAACAAACAAACAGCTTTTTTTGCATTTTGGCTGTTCATTTACAATGGCAGTTTGGGGGTCTGAAAATGCAAACTTTTGAAAACAGGTGTCAAAGTGCAAATTCCAAAGTTTACACGCTACAAAAATACAAATTTGTGAAAACAGTGACATCATGCGCATGTGTATTACGTGTTCAGTCTATAGGCACATAGTGTTTCTTTACAAAGTGACATTGCCATCTACTGGCCTGTCAGCAAAATGCAAAGAAAAATTCTGGTTTTAGTACAATGTCGTTGTGTGAATGTACCGTAATTTACTTTTGTTCTCCAAATGTCCCAATTGATTTTCATCGCTTTCATCACTCAATGTTTTCATTTTAGGCCTGATGAAAGTGAAAGAAGAACAAGATCTGAATGAAGTGGAGGAGAAGTATCAGGATCAGAAAGATCATGATGTCACCACTGGAGAAAAATCAGTGAGTTTCTCAAAAACTGAAAACAGTTGCTCACAAAGCAACATTCAAAGAAAAGAAGCCAAAAGGCCTTTCAGCTGCTCCCAGTGTGTAAAGACTTTGTCACGTAGAGGAAGCCTTAAGAATCACATGATAATTAATGCGGGAATGAAGCCTTTCACTGGCTCTATGTGTATAAAGAGTTTCACACAGAAAAAACAACTCAATGAACATGCGTATATTCACACCTCAGAAAATAATTTCACTTGATTTCAGTGTGGAAAGACTTTGTCACGTAAAGAAACCCTTAAGAATCACATGTTAATTCATGCTGGAATAAAGCCTTTTACCTGCTCTCAGTGCGGAAGGAGTTTCACACAGAAAAAAAGAACTTAATGAGCATGTGCATATTCACACCTCAGAAAAGCCTTTCACCTTCTCTCAATGTGGAAAGAGTTTTCAGGAGTTACTAAATCTACAGTAAATGTAGTCAGTTAAAATCTTAAATTAGATTTTTTTGAATTATGGATTAGTTAAATTGATAAGCATTAAGCATTTCTAAAAAAAAATCTAAATTTACTTCTGGAGAAAACGACAAATAAAATGTGTAAATGACTAGCAGCTACGGCTGCCAAACAAAAATTGTAAAATTAAAGTAAAATATCTTAATTGAAATAAAGTGCAAAAACAATAATTTTACAGTAACTTTCATTAAAGGTTTTACAGAAAAAAAAAATATTTTACAGATTTTTCCTTGTTTCGATTATGATATTTTACTTTAATTTTACAATTTTTTTACGGGACTTTTTTTTACAGTGTAAAACCCTTATTTTGCAGATTTTTTCTTGTTTCAATTAAGATAATTTATTTGAATTTTACGATTTTTGTTTGGCATTTTTACGGGACTTTTTTTACAGTGTAAAACCCTTATTTTTACAGATTTTTCCTAGATTATTACAATGAAAGCACTAAATGTTCTACAGAGAAACACTGTTATTTTACAAATCATTACAATCAAAAACCTTCAATATAGTGTCAAAGCATGCTCAAGATTATTGACAGTTTTATTTGGAAGACAAAATACAAAGTCTGTACAAATGCCCTATAAAATTTAAATTTTACATATCAGTTTTTTAAAAGAAATACAGCACAATTACATTTAAAGGGGTCCTATTATGCTCTTTTACAAAGTCTTGATTTTCAACATTAAAAATATACAATTAAATATATTCAACTTAAAGGACAAGTTCACTTCCAGAATGAATATTTCCTGATAATGTACTCACCCCATGTAATCCAAGATGTTCATGTCTTTCTTTACTCAGTCAAAAAGAAATTAAGGTTTTTGAGAAACAATTTCAAGATTTTTCTCCATATAGTGGACTTCAATGGGACCCAACGGGTTGAAGGTCCAAATTTCAGTTTCAATGCATCTTTCAAAGGGCTTTACAAGTTCCCAGCGACCCTTATTCCTCAGCTGGGATCGTGTAAAGCCCTTTGTAGCAGCATTGAAACTGAAATTTGGATCGTCAACCCGTTGCTATCTTAATAAATCCTGCTATTTATTCCTCATTCATGCACATTTCTTTATCAAAGTGTCAATAACTTTAAGCACTACTGTGCTATGAGTTTATATATTGCGCTTCATATCATTGCCACGACATGGTCATATATCGCCCAGCCGGAGCTAACAGTATTAGCTCATACTAGCAAAACACACACTGGTAGGACATTGAGGTGTATAATTGCGATTAGGGCTCTCAGGTTATGAAATTTGGCTGACGGTTAATTGTCTAAAAATAGTCACGGTTATTGCAATTAATTGTCTGTTTTAGGGCTTTGGCGATTATGACGATTATCACGATTAATTGTATGTTGTTTTTTTATGGCTTTCACTATATAATTGTGATTAATTTAAGGGTTCAGTAAATAATTTATCTTATAAATAGTTATCTTTTAATCTTTTTTGAGTTATTATTTTGCAGTGTAAGATTGCATAGAGAATTCCAAATTCTAAGAATTGGCCAATACCGATCCAACCCCAGCACTATTTTTTTTCTACACCACTACAGAATATCAACACTGTGCTTGTGGAACTAATGGTCTCTCTTTTTTTAAACCCTTTGTTAAACATAATCCACTAAATACTCACCTTCCTCGTTACAGAGAAAAACTACATTTGAATAAAAATATATAAACTATGAAAATGTGAAACGCTTCAAACAGAGCGGCACAAAGCTCTTATGCACATCTAGGGTGCAAAATGATGCAAGAGGGTCTGGCTGAAGCCTTGCAGTTGCACTCTCAGACTCGCACTCTCAGTCATCTGCGCTTCCTCTGCAAGTGACGTCACTTGCAATCGACACCTGCAGTCTTCGGTACTATGGGATTATATCTCTGCCGCAATTCTGCGCATGAAAGATCATATTTTGAGCGCGCAAAAGTGTGTTTTGCACGCGCGCGAACTGAGTTTTGTAGAGAAAATGTTTGTCTCGCAAAAAAAAAAGAAAGTATTTCGAGCGCACGAAAATCTATTTTGTATTTAAAATAAGTTTTTGGATGTGTGCAGACCTTCTCTCTTGCGCGTGCAACGTTTCACTAGCTTGCTTACCTGATGCCCGCTGCCCTCAGTGCTCTCTAAATGCCAACAGCTCGCTTGCTCAACACAACCCAGCGTTACAATATGCCATAATTCCAGCCAATCAGAGACGAGGCTCCTAAATTCTGATTGGCTGCATTGACAACCAATCACAACATTCCTTGCATTACCTCGACAGCAGAAGAGGAAAAACATACAGTGCATGCATAATTATTATGCAAGTTGATATTCTGATCATATTTTTTTCCAAGCACATTTTACCAATTCCAAACGACATCAATCTTAATAACTACTATTAATCTTGTATTTAATCATTTTAATTGATATATAATTATTCATGAAGGCTGAAGGCTGAAGTGAAAAATGTCTTATATTCAGGTGTGCATAATTATTAAGCAGATTTTCTTTTACAGATAAAATGAGCCAAAAAAGAGATTTAACTCAAACTGAAAGTTATTAAATAAATTTAATAAAATTATTAAATGCCCATGAGAAATATTCAAAACTAATACTAGAAATTGCAAAGTTAATGCATAACCATTGGACAGCAAAATGCTCAGTGGGTCAGCAGGGTCAGTCAAAAACGTGGAGAAGAAAAGATGCATGTTAACTGCAAAAGAATTAGGAATTAAGGTGAAGAATTAGGTGTGAAATCACCAGGAACCATTTAGTCTCCAGCGCCACCATTTTCCAGAACTGCAACCTACCTGGAGTCTCCAGAAGTACAAGGTGTCAGGTTCTCAGAAACTTAGGTGATAGAATCCTAAAAAATGACCCCTACTTAATAAGAATAACATACTGAACTGCTTAATAATTATGCACACCTGAATATAAGGCGTTTTTCCACTTCCAGCCTTCATGAACAATAATATATAGAGTATAAGTGATTAAATACAAGATTAATAGTGGTTATTAAGATTGATGTTGTTTGGAATTGGTAAAATGTGCTTGGAAAAAAATATTATCAGAATATCAACTTGCATAATAATTATGCATGCACTGTTCCTCTTCTGCTGTCGTAATGCAAGAAATGTTGTGAGTGGTTGTCAAGGCAGCCTCGTCTCTGATTGGCTGGAATTATTGTAACGCTAGGTTGTGTTGAGCAAGCGAGCTGTTGGCATTAGTGATGGGAAGTTCAGATCATTTTACAGACTCGGACCTTTGAGTCTCGTTCAGCAAAATGAACGAATCTTTTTTTGAGTCATTTCGTTCATTTTAGCAAAATATAATTAAAATGTTACGTGTTACTTCCGTAACACATCTACTACTTACGCAAACGTTGATCACACTACAAACAATACAAAACTGCTATAAGAAACAGAAAAGATTAATTAATTGTTTACCTGGGTCTTCAGTCTATGATTAGCTCACCTCACCTCTTATCTGACAAGTCTTCGGGTTTGAGTCGTTCGTTCATTACGTGACAGCCCCAAACGCTTTAACCAATGCAGTCTGAGCCGGAAAGAGAATTGATTAGTTAATCTCTCGAGTCTTTTGAATCATTCGTTCTTTTGTCACGTGATGTGACAGCATTGGATAGAGAAATTAGTTAATTTACAAGCTTCCTTACAAACGGGTGCATATAATTATTATTTACTCTTACAGTTACGTGATGCGTTTCTGGTCTCAAATTGTAGCTTTTTACTTCTTACAGTTTATAAATATGCGAATTTCTGTCATTATGGTTCTTTTCCATAACACTGAATGTTGTAACAAAGGTACACGTAAACAACTGTATAGTTTAGTGGAAGTGATTGTGGTGTTACTGATTTTATAACTAAAATGAATGACATAATTAAATGTGGTGTTTTTATTAGCAAAACAGGTAGTGTGAAACATTGTAAAACACCACATTTGATATTTTGTCCTGCTTCTACCCTGTTTCTCAGTTCAGATTATTACATTTGAGTGACATTTTATTTATATATATATATATATATATATATATATATAAACTGGTTTCTTCTATCATGCTCCTACAGATGCATCAATCAATATTATTAGTTTCGGAAAACCCCCTGGTGCCACAGTGCACCTCATGTTGCACTATGTATCACTGCAGTTTATGCCCTGCTCTGAAGCCAACCACCCTGAAAAAAATCAAGCAACACTGGGAAGGCCATTTAAAAAAGGCAATTGTTTTCCAAGGTAGGTTCATTACTCTATTTTACTGTAATTGTAGCTTACTTATTGAGGATCAAACACAGTCATACATAATTGTCCTGAAATTAAACATTACAGTGTGCTGCTCTGAAACAATTTGTGCTGTGAAAACCACTATTTAAATAAAGACTTCAAAGTTACTGTACCTAATTGTCATCGTCTGGCTATTGATTGATTTTTCAAGATTTACTGAGTATTGATTTCTATAAATGCTTTGGTATTGTTGGTCTTGATTTTCATACTGTGCTTTATCTACAGACAAAAGATTATGTCGTTGCCATTTGCCCTGCAGAACTGAGGCTCATTACCATTGCCCCAATTGCAGCAAAACTGTTCTGAGGAGATATGTTATGGAAGCTCACCTTCAGATATGCTCATCATCAGATGTACCCATCCAACCTTCTTCATCCTCTTTGGCTTCACAACCCTCTAAAACAACACCTGCACTGGTTCCTTTGTCATTTGTAACACCACCTGCACTGGTTCCCCTGACTGCAGTGACACCTGCACTGGTTACTTTGCCCACAACGACACCTGCACTGGCTCCTCTGTCATCTGCATTGACACCTGCACTGTCTCCACTACCTCCTGCAACGACACCTGCCCCGGTTCCTTTGTCCACAATGACACCTGGGCTAGTTCCAGGGGCGGACTGGGACAAAAATTCAGCCCTGGCACTGTAGCCACACCAGCCCACATTACCACACCAACACGGCCCCACCCACGGACACTTGCATTCACTACTTATATTTGTGTACAGATGGTGAAATAATATAAGCAGTACCATAAGTAATAGATATTTAAACATTTAATGTATGTGACAGGCAATAGAGCACACGTTTATAACAAATGTATACATACAGTAAAAACTAAAGAAAAAAGAATCTGAGAATGTTGTAGAGTCTCTGTGCTATCTATGCCGTTTGTCTGCTATTACTTACTGTCATTCTCTACAGTGTTCTTTATCGTCACTGTTATGTTCTATTCTCCTTGTTTCTCTCAGTTGACACTGTACACATTGTCTGTCTGATTCTACATCTCATCTGTTTTAACTCTGTAACTCTGCAATTTTAATATGTTTGTATGGCTGTCTGTGATTATACTTGTTCTTCACTCTTGTCTGACTGTCATTGTGTCCATGCTTCTTCTTGCTGGTCTCTGCTGTCACTGTGCTTCATTGTATTTTCAGCAGGCGTCGCAGCAATTCACTCTTCTCTGCCACTTTGTCAATGAGAACATCTGTATCTAGGGCCATAAGTATTTCCTTTTCAGTTGCCATCAACATAAATGCCTCCAAGTGATCATTGGATATGGTGCTCCTGAGCCGATTTTTTATAAATTTGAGTGTGGAGAAGCTTCTCTCACAAGCAACCTGGGTGACAGACAGGGTGAGTAGGAACTTGTACCCGAGGCCTATAACATGGTAAGCATCTGTTAACAAGTTGTATCGCTGTAAAAGCTGAAAGCTGATAACGGCACAGTTCTTACATGTTGAACAACTTTTATTCATAAGCTCTACCTGTTCTTCATCAGTCATCAGTATAGGTATCTCTCTCACAATCCTGGTTGTGTACTCCTCCACTGTAGACTTTTTCAGTTTCTCCCACTGAGCAGCGAGACTAGTCAGCTCATACTGTAAAGTGACAACAGTGGCCCGGTTGTCAAACTTTAGTAAGCATCTGCTTCCATTATCTCTGATCTCTGAGAATCTTCTAGGGTCCAGATAAGCAAGGTCTGCAAACAATGTGCCATGTGTCAGAAAGCGTTGATGGATGCTTTCAGTGACTGTATCCATGATGACATGGTGTACCTTAGTCTTGTAGGCCATTTCCACGTCCCTTTCCACCTCATCCTGAGCCAACTCCCCTGGCATTGTCTTCCTTTTCCTTATCCTTTTCTTTGGCAGCTCAGTTTGCACTTCCAGTTCGGTGTCTTCATCCTGTTCTTGTAGCTTGGCAGTAGCCCACTGCACAAAGATGTCTGCTGCCCTTTTCACAGTGTCAAAGTCTCTAGCATTCTTTTGTAGAGCTTCTTGTGTTTCCACAACCATCCGATGTGCTGTCAGAATGTCCAATCCGCTGGTTTGTAGGTACTTGGAGAGAGGAGACGTTTTCTCAAATACATACAAAAATGTTTGGGCAGTAAGGATGGTTTCATACTTGAGCAGGGCCTCTTTAAACCCTCTGGCTTTGACAAAAAAAAAAAAAAAACCCAGCAAACCAATAATCCTAAACCAGTAACTGCGTAATTTATTCATGCTGCAGTGCATGCTGGTAACTCACAAACCCTTACAATTTCAGCAATGCTGAGTAATTTCAAAGTCTTTGTTCAGAAAACTGTTTGACTAGTTAAGACAACATTTGGGGAAATTCTGATCTAACACGGGATTTTATCTAGCTTCCAATAATTCACGTTTCTTAAGATTTGTGACTCAAAAAGGTCCCGTAAAATGCAATATATGTAGTTGCTGTTTTTTTCTGCCTTTTTTTTTTTTTGAGTGTCTGCTGTTTTGCTGCTGTGTAAGGTCTACTTCTCTCTCAACTAGTACTAGTATGTTGTGTTTATATTTTTAGCTTTTTTGTCATTTATCTTTCCATCACTGCAGCTTTCCAGCCACTTGCAGGTATTCTCATGGACAACGGATATTTCTCTACTCTATTTCTCTCTTCTCTCTCTATGTCCTAGGAGATTTTCTCTCACCATTTCTTCCCCTTCAGTATATACCACTGCTTCCCGAGGGACTCTTATCCTCCTTCAGGTTGCTCTGTTTATGTCTGTCTTCCCCGTGTCTTCCCTTCCCCCTCTCTCTCCCTCATATGCCCTTAGTCTGACCCATTATCGCCACATCACCTGTCCTACTGCGCTCTCGTCCTGAAAATCCCTCCAATTCTCAACTCTCATCCCTCCATCTCCACCTCCCTCAGGAGGAGAAGGGGAATTACCACCCCCTGCACGAAAGAGCTCACGATTGTGCAAGGAACGGAGCATCACCTCCCACAAACCCCTACAGAGATGCCTGCCTGGCCAGAAACAGTGATCTCAAACCTGAATAATGTCCAAATCATGATTGCTATGGACGTTACTATGGAAGGAGATGGGGTCCTGACCCTGATTAAAGACAGGTCTACGGTGGAGACACAGGCAGTGGGAAATCTGAACGTCTTTACACACAACCCTGGTCCCAATTCCTACAGGAGTAAAAAGGATTAGGGGTTAACGGGTGACACGAAAGGACTGAAAGTGACTTTAACATTCCTGAAGTGAGAGTCCACCCTCTGGCTTCAATTATTGGGATGAATTAGATCTGAAAATCAATTAAATAAAATGCCCGACCTCATCTGTGTTAATCAGGCCCCCTGACAAATTAATATTTTGGTGTCCTCAATGTTTGGCAGCACTTGCGAGTGTGTGAGAATGTACAAAGCCTTTTCTTCTGCCATTAATAATAGTCTGTGCAAGCAAGCCACTTTAACTGGATAGTTCACCCAAAAAAAAAAAAATACTATCATCATTTACTTATCTTCATGTCGGCTCAAACCTCTATGATTTTCTTCTGTGGAACACAAAATAAGACATTTTGCAATTTTTTAAATATTTCTTGTCCATACAGTCAAGGTCAGCATTGTTTTGGACCCCACTGACTTTTATTGCATAGACAAAAACATTTTTCAGAATATATTTTTTGTGTTCCACAAAATAAATAAAGTCATACAGGTTTAGAAAGACATGGGGGCGAATAAACACATTTTTATTTTTGGGTGAACTATAATTTAAGGCCTGAACACAGAAAGACTGAAATCTCATTTACAACACATTTCAATAAAACATTTTGTTCACACTTTATTTTGAAGTCTATAAACAAACCATTAACTACTACTTTTGCTTCAATAAACTCCTAATTTGCTTCTTATTAATAGTTAGAAAGGTAGTTGTTAAGTTTATGTATTGGGTAGGATTAGGGATGCAGGATATGGTCATGCAGAATATGTGCTTTATAAGTACTAATAACCAGCCAATATGTTAATAATAGGCATGCTAATAAGCAACTAGTTAATAGTGAGAATTGTTCCCTATACTGAAGTGTTACCAACATTTTGACAACATCTGACAATTGTATCTTAAATTGTGCTTCTTTATCTTAAAATCACACTGAACAGCTGTATTTTTTAGGCTCTTTTAACTTAAAGGCAGGACTTCTATTACTACAGCTGTCATATCAAGCATTACACATATTCTCACATTTATTATTCTGCGAGTGGTCTGTCTCCTCCTTATGTCTCTAGTGTAAGTCACACCACCGGAACGTATAAGAAAGAACAAACCGACGACAACGTGTTCCTATTTTTGATGGACTTATTATTCAGGGCAAAAAAATCACACATATAAATCCCCTAATATTCCAATTACACCAAATTGACACTTTTGCACTCATCAGAGAGAGAAAGAAAGAAAGAAAGAAAGAAAGAAAGAAAGAACACATAACTTGACAGGATGAAAGAGAAGAAAGAGCCCATGATCCGAACAGACCAAAAAAAAAAAAAAAAAAAGCACACATGACTGAAGGGGGTGTGGTACTCTGTATAGTCATAAAAAGTTTTCTTCAGTACGGACTTTTAGATTCTAACAATCTGGTTTCATTGTGGCATAATTAGAAAGAACCCTTTCAACCCAGTACACACCATTTGTGTCCAAAATCATAGAATATGTGGAGTATGTTACCCAGATGTACTACATTCGTCATTGTGTCATGTGACCTACAGTGTCAGATGCATCGCTTCACTGCCATTCACAAATTTTCTCCTGTGGCCTCATAGGACAGAAAAGCGTCCATTGGATGCACATTTCAGAATCTCATCAGAAGTAGCAGGTCATCTGGGTACTTTGTTTTATGAAGACTGCTCTTTTCACATACTGTTTTTCATGTTCTATATAGTAGGGAAGTATGCGATTTTGGATGCAGCCATATGGTGTTTCTCAATCGAAAGGCTGCATCCTAGTAAGGCTGCCATATAATCAAGCTCTGTCTCAATTTGAAGGATCCTTAAAAGGCAGCCTTCGTTTCTTGTCCTTCATTCTGCGTTTTTTGAAGGATGCATCAAATGTAGGCTATCCCTTGTGTCCTCCAATAACCCACAATAGTCAATTTATATTCAGTTAATAAAAAGATTTTCAATATAAAGTATTTACATAAAGTGCGGTGCGGAAACTTTTATGACGTAGCCATGCACACTTATTAGACTGTGTCATTCTAGTGTTCACCCTTGAGGAGGAGTCTAACATAGAAGCCTTTGCAGAACAGGACTAGGAGGGACACAACCTCACTAGGATTCAGCTTTCCAGTTGAGAACACCCATAGTAATGACAGCACAGATACCAGACCGTTCTTCTGTATACTACTACTGCTAATGTACTCTGTCGCCCTCTGCTGGTTAAAATGAGAATGTCTGGCCTCTGCTAGTATTGAGTATACCCAGGGCCGTCCTTTGGGCGGTGCAACTGGTGCGGTCACACCGGCCCCGCGCTTTGAGGGTGCCCCGCGGCGAATGGACCGAGTGGGACTCTGCCACTCTGTCAATGACAACATCTGTATCTAGGGCCATAAGTATTTCCTTTTCAGTTGCCATCAACATAAATGCCTCCAAGTGATCATTGGATATGGTGTTCCTGAGCCGATTTTTTTTTATAAATTTGAGGGTGGAGAAGCTTCTCTCACAAGCA